CCCAAGGCTGGAAGCCAGGGACCTTGCTTCAACCTGTCCTAGGCCATGCTGGAAGGTGGCAGGGTAGGAACTCTGCTAGAGAGAGGCAAGGACAGAAACTACTTCTAAAGATGGCACTTGTGGGATGAAGGCATTGAGCAATAGTTACTGTTTTCTCAGCACATGAGTCCAAGGGATTCTCTGGACTCCTCCTTATAGCCAGGGGGAAAATCAAAACCCAGCAGCTACAAGAAGGTTTGCTTTGAAGATGAGCCTGGGGATAACTTCTGAAACTGCCTTTGGATTTGTATTTTTTTTAAGGACTTATTTATTTATAATGTATATGTACCTGCAAAGTTTATGTCCCCTACATGCATGCAGGGGCCAGAAGAGTGTATTGGATCCCCTGGAATGGCAGTTACCTGGGACCTCTACAGGAGCAGCCAGTGCTTAATGGCTAAGCCATCTTTCAATCCCTCCCTCCAGTTCTTAACTGTTGAGGAGGGAAGAATTTTTGGTTATAATCTGGGCACCTGTAGCGTCGCACTACAATCTGTTCCACTAATTGGGCTAAGACCTGGAGATTTAAATAACAGACAAGAAGCAGGTCATTTGTGCAACAGGACTGCTGGAATGCCGAATGCCGTTTATTGAGGTGAAGGAGCAGGCTTATATACCGACTCACAGCACAGTGGAAAACAAGAATCAAGTGTGCAAGTTCTCGGGCTTAGCAGATGTGTGTTAGCAAATCAAGAAGAGTACCAAGCACTACTCTGGCGCAAGATGTTCCAGCAAACAGCTCAGGCTTTCTGGAGGTGCCTCGGGAGTCCATGCAGGGCCCTACATATCCCCCTTTCATTTAATATAAACTAACACCTGTCTTAGGCAGCAGAGGTTGTCAGTATAATTCCTTACTCATCATGGGAGAGGTCACCCAGGCCTGTAAACTTCCTGTCTTAGGTGGATATTTACCCCCTTCTGCCTTACCTGTCTCTGGTGATTAGTTTATCTGTAAGTTCAGCCATACTTGGGCAGAGGCATTCTCTTGAGCTAAAGACAGTGGAATCTGTCTTGTTTAAAAGTTGGCCTGGGCCTGTCTAATGCTGTGGTGGTGTAGGCAGATCAGGCAGATAGTACCAAGGGCAAGGGCTATGAGCCCCAGTGAGAGAGAGCTTGCCCATTCTCTAATCTACCCGCAAGTTGAAGTCCTTGTAAAAGTCTTCTGAGCTGGCAGGTAGTACTCGGGTTTCATTGTTGTTAATGATCTGCATGGCTAAAGCATGTGTATAATTCAAAAACTAATCACTCCAGGACCCCTGGAGAAACCTAACTACAACTGGTGTATTCTTAACTTTAGCAGGTGTAACACAGACATGTGTGAAAGACAGAGGAACAAGAAGCCACATGGGCCTCTCACAATAAATCCAATTGTTCCTATAGGAGGCCAGTTTGTACATTTAGTTTTAAAATGCCAGTTTGTACTAGATTATCCAGTGTGTTTTGGGTGGCTAAGGCTTCAGCCACTTAACCCGATAGTTGATCCACTGTGCTTGTGTATTTACAGATTGGGAGAGGGCTATCTTTGAAACTGTTGCTGCAGTGGCGGAGGCGGCAATGGCAATAACAATTGCAGCCGTGACCCTGGAATCTCCTTTCCTCTATGCTGCACAAGTTTATGATCTGTAGAGGAGGTCTCCGGCATAGGTACCACCCTGGGTACGAGAACCAGGACAGCTGTTCTTTCATACATCCAGCAGCTAACCAGTAGGCAGACCTGCTAAGAACAATTGAGACTTCCTCCAAAATTAGTAGCATTAGTTACAAGGAAAAAGAAGGGAGCCAGAACACAAATGTCTAAAATGAAGGTGAAATTCTTACCGAAGTGTAATTTTATAGCGGCTTTACCCAAACTATAATTAGTGGTCAGGAAAAAGGACCACACCTGTGAGCATCTGAGAACCTTTTGAGAAAAGGTAATGGCTAGCACCTGGCCCCCACTCAGTGTGGCTCTACAGAGCTGCATCAAATCACTAGGGGTGCAATTTAATGCTACGAAAGACTCAAAAATTGCCTGAGTAAAAGGACATGGAACCCATAAGCAGTGACAACCGCCTTAAGCTGTTTTATATCCTTGAAATTTAGTGGGTTGTGCTCCCTAACCCTGTTACCCTGAGGATCTACTTTCTCAATCACAAGAAAACCTTGTCTTTCCTTTCCTAATGCTTCTACCTTGGTTATTAAATCTTTGACCTCCTCCTCTATCCCTCGCAGTGCAGAGGGCCTACTAAAGGGATCACAAAAGGGGTTGTGTCTTGATGGATGGGATTTGCGCTCATCAGCTTCAGCAATTCTTTGCTTTAATTGTTCAATTTCTGCTTCCAAAGTATCTTCCTCATCAGTTAGGTAGAACTATCATCATCTCCTAGTTGGGATCCCTCTTGTTCCCTGATAGATTTCAGATTCTAAATCTTGTACTTCCTCAAAAGTCTTATTCATCTCTGCCATTTGTCCTTTTACTTTGACATTGTTGCTCAGGAGCACATCTTTAACTAGATACCAAAGGGAAAATGTGGAAATAGGGAAACTATCAGGCTCTTCTCATTTATAAGCCTTTTGGAGATGTCCTTTACCTGTACCCAACCGGTGATGTTTAAACCTCCAGAGTGTATAAACCAGGGACTATGTTTTTCTAATATGGCAATGAGTGTTTTAGCTACCTTAATTTTAATCCTGGTGTCTTGTCTTTTCAATAGGGCCACTAATTGCCCACGGAGAATATCCTTAGAGTTACTGGCACCCACCCTTCAATACATCCTCATTCACTTACTTTGCCAGTGGGCCTCCGAGGGGGATCTTTTAGGTTATCCTTTCTTCCCTATCGCGGTGGGACCTTCACTTGTAGCACCCATGCTACAATCTGTTCCACTAATTGGGCTAAGGTCTAGAGATTTAAATAAAAGACAAGACAGTGGGTCATTTGTGGAATGGGAATGCTGGAATGCTGGAAGGAGCAGGCTCATATGCTGACTCACAGCACAATGGAAAACAATCAGGAGTCAAGCATGCAAGTTCTCGAGCTTAGTTCCTCCCCAGCAGACATGTGTTAGCAAATCAAGAAGAGTACCAAGCACTACTTTGGTACCAGATGTTCCAGCTAAAACTGCAGAATGTTCCAGCCAACAGCTCAGGCTTGCTAGAGGTGCCTCAGGGGTCCATGCAAGGCCCTACAGGCACCTAGAGAAATTCTTCTGCTGGTATAGAACCGTGGGATCAACTAGTATGTATCGGTGTGTCTGAATATAACTGAGGTTTATTTTCATGCTTAGGGGCTTCGTCTGGCCTTAGGCCCAGCAGTTTGGAAAATCAGTATGTGGGCAGAGCCAACAGAGCTGCAGCTATTGCAAGGAAGCGTGTATATGATGGGTATCACGGTTAAATAAGGATCAGGATAAACAAATAGGCCAAATAGATGTTTATTTAGGGAGAAATAACTTACAACCTAGACAGATGAACACCAGGGAATTCCACCAGATGCTATCCTGTCTGAGTCCTGCCAGAAAGAGAGCTTTTCCCGGCTCTCTCTCCAACCTCCTTCCACAGGTTACTTCTGCCCATGGCTCCACCCCCCCAAAGGGCGTGGTCAGTGCCACAGAAGGACTATCTCACTACAGATGGGGGTGGATACACCTTTAGGTACTGTGGGGGTGATGGAACACTCGCCCCTCTCTGGGGACAGTCACAGCAGAGGATAGGATGGGGCAGAGATTGAAGCCACATTAAACAGAGCTCAGAGCAACACAAAGACCTGCCATGAAGCCCTTCCAATCAAGGGTGGCTTGCATCCAATGCTGTCCTAGTACCTACCAGGCCCCCATGTGGTCCAGAGGAAAGCACTCTGCCAGCCCAGCCTGGTTCACAGCCCTGTGTTCAGTTCTTAAAGCAGAGCTCCAAAGGGAGTGTGGGTGGCATGAGGGGGCAGGGCAAGAGCTGCAGCCAGTGGGTTAAGGTCTGCACAGTCATACTGACTGTGCCTCTGTGAGCACTGGGATGCCACATAGTCATCCAGGATCCAAGGCAGTCTCTGCCCTGTAGTTCTGGCTATTGTAAGTAATCCCTGTAAGTCCATCATCTTCAAGTGTCAGGAAGGAGACTCGAAGGCAAGATAAAACAGCCGTGGTATTTAGGACACATAGCACAGGATGAAGAGCTATCATCTAGGCAGTCAAGCCGCACTGAGCTCTAGCCAGACTATAGTGCACACCATGCCATTGTGTGGCTCATGGGTATCTTTCTGTTTCTTCACTTTCTCGCCTGGAGTGATCATGAGGGTCAAATGAGATGGGGTGAATAAAAGCCCTTCCTCTATCATTGCTGGTTGAACTCTTTGAAATAGCTCCCAACATGCACCCATGTCCTGGGTGTGGGTGTTATCACCTGGCTGCAAGATGGAAGCTTAGGGCTATCATCTACCGAGTGTCTAAGACAGCAAGGTCAGGGACTCCAAGGATCTTAAGGACAGATGATCTTAGCTGAATCCTCATTTTAAGCTGACTCTGCCTCATAGGGAGGCAGGCCATCACTGTAATCTGGGAGACAAGCTTCTTAGACCAGGAGCAGCTTAGTTCCTGAAGCCAAGCATTAACGAGGGCCTTAGAAACCATTCATGATCCCTATGACCATCACCAAACCTCCTACCTTTGGGTGGGTGTGGGGCTCCTCAATTTCCCTTTTTTCTTCGTAATGTAAGGACAAACAAGAAAGTTCTGTGCACACCAACCCTAGATCTCAGTTACAAGTTGTATCTTTCTTCTCTTCCAACAACCGGCTGGATGGGCAGTGGGGAATGACAGTCTAGGAGAGGGAAGGAAGCCACTTAACAGTGGCCCATGTGGGGAGTGTAGGAGCCAGCAGACTTCCTTGGGAGGCTACCCTGACTTGCAGTCACTGACACAGAAGGCTTCTCGTTTCAGACCTGCTGTATTCTGTGAAAACCTGCATTAATTCTTGCCCTCACTTCACAGCATCCAGAGAGCAGCGTTGGTGGTTCTAGAAAATTACTACAAGGACTTCACCATCTACAACCCAAACCTTCTAACGGCATCTAAGTTCCGAGCAGCCAAGCACATGGCTGGCCTGAAAGTCTACAATGTAGACGGTATGTGCTTGAAACTGTTGGTCGGATATGACGGCCATAGGCGGCTCTCACCTAAACTCCGTGGTACATTTACCTCTACCTGTACTCCATGCTTGCCTTGTAGACCTCCCTCACTTCAGAACAATTTCTATTTTTATTTTAAATGTAGGCCAACATGTTTTCCAGGGGAATGTCAGTTCACAGCCTACCTATATGGCAAATTCATCCATTTGGGGGTATTGGTGTTGGAAAGTATAGCTGTGTTTACTGTGTCCTGCTGGGAACACCTTAGATTGGAAGCCCTTAGGAATTCCAAAGGTTTTTCAAAATCTGATCGGATTACCCAAATACTGAAAATATTCCTCCAAAGGCATTGGGCCTAGAAATGTCAGTAGTTCCGCCGCCAGGGAGCTCCTCTCGGGCTTCTCAGTCCTGTCGAGGAGCAGGAGTTGAATGGTGCCAGGAAGCTAGAGCCAGTCTAGAGGAGTTGGAGCCCAGTTTCATTCAGGGTGTCAAGTGCTTAAGTGTGAGAAACAGGACTCCATGCCATTTCTTGCTGGGCACCTGGGATAAGGCAAGGGCTTTGCAGACTCCAGGAGAAAATCATGTTGTCAGCCAGTCAGCTGACTTACATCGGTATCAGCTCTGGTCACACAGCCTCTCTCATTTGACTTTTTAAATTTGGCGACATAAGATGTAAGCTTCACCCCATGGGAAAACTTAGTGAAACCAAGTCCACAGCAGCGGGTCACCTACAAGAAACTGAGGTCCTACTGTTTGTTTCCAATAAGCTAAGTGGATCGGTGCTCGGGGTGACACAAGACTCTGAGTCTCTTCAAAGATGGGGCTTTTGTGGTCGCTGGTGTCTGGGGTGATGACTGCAAGGCCGCACCCCGGCTTAACTTGTTTTCCTGTGTGTGCTCACTGTACGCGTCCTTTGACTTTCTTTTTTCTCTGTCTGTCCTTGCCCTCCCATCCTGCTCACTCTCTCTCATTGTCTGCTGCATGTGATGTCCCAGCTGCCCTTATGGCCAAACTGAAACTTTGTGTGGCAGATGGTAAGTGACATACATCTTCGGCACACTCTGGCGGGTGTTGTTCTTGGCCGACATTTTCAGTGGTGAGCCTTCTGCAGCCCTTCGGGGTTCTCTTTCCATGCCCCCGTCAGACTGGGGTTAGATTTCTTGGCTGCTGTGACTATGGATGGAGTGCTGTGGCCAGGGGAAGCTACTTTTAGGACCCGTGTGTGCTTCCTCCATAGGGGCGGGTAGGAGAGTACTGGTAGTGTTTTCCTGTCTCATTTCCTGGCCTTTGGTGTTAAAGCTATTGTACCGTTCTACTTCCATCAAAGGGCCCAGTACCAATGCCGCCGGCCAGTCCCGAGCCATGATTGCTGCAGCTGCTCGGCGCAGAGACTCCAGCCACAATGAGTTGTATTATGAGGAGGCTGAACACGAACGGCGGGTGAAAAAGAGGAGAGCAAGGTTTGTGACCCACCCTCCATGCCTGCCCCCTCTGGTTGGATATTTTATCTTCATTCTTTCTTAACCTCCAGAGCTAATTCTTTGTTTGCAAACAGGATGTGTGTGTGACTGTTTACAGCCCACCGTTTCTCAGACTTGGTGTGTGTGATCATCAGCAGACACACTTCCACCGACGTCACAGGTTCTGGCCCACTCACATAGCTTACTGCACAGTCTGTGGGTCTGGGGTTCAGCCTGGGAGTTTACATCTAAAGCAGACTTCCAGGGGCTTTTCTGCAGCTGCCCCTGGAGGGAGCCAGCCCCACCCACACTGTTTCCCATGTTAATTGAAGGTGGCAAAGGTGGCTTCCTTTATGCTTGCTGTCCCATTCTTCCTTTTCCTGAGCTGCTGGAGGTGGGAGGGAGGATGGATCATGGGGCCAAAGCTCTGGTTTCTTTTCTATTTTTGAATTCTCTGTGTAGCTGAGAATTACATTGAACTTATTTTTGTAAACTTTTTTTAAAACATTTATCTGTGTGTGTGTGTGTGTGTGTGTGTGTGTGTGTGTGTGTGTGTGTGTGTATACATGTGTCTGTGTACATGTGTGCCACAGTGCACAGGTAGCCCCGGACAACTTTGGGGATTGGTTCTTTCCTTCTACCACATGAGTTCCAGGGGTCAAATTCAGGCTGTCAGGCTTGGCCAGGGCCTTTCCCCTGAGCCATCTTGTCAGTGTGACTCCTTACCCTGCCTCCTCCTCCCGAGGGCTAGGTTATAGGAATGCCAGCACGTGTGGTGCTGGGCGTTTCTCCCAGGTCTTCGTGGTACTGGCAAGCGCTCTACCCACCAAAGCTCCCCCGGGCGAGCTCTGGTTCTCCATCAGCTGCTTCTGCCCACCCACTTCCTCTCCCCAGATGGAGCTGAGCAGAAGTCTTCTTATCTCACCTTTTACTGGAGAAACTGAATCACAGGTTAAAGTGAATTTTCTGAGCTCATTATTGGCAGACCTGAGAAGCCCCAGGGACCAACCCTCCATCCCCCACCCCCTCCACCACCACCCCCTTTCCTACCAGGCTAGGGATGAGCAATGCGACAGAACCTTGGGGAAGTTGGTGATAGGCCAGGATGCTGCAGTGGACAAGAGGCCCTCTGGGCCTTAGGGGACCACCCCTAAGCCATGCAGTGGCCACTGCCTTGCTGACCATGCCACATCTCCTTCCAGATTGGTGGTGGCGGTAGAAGAAGCCTTCATCCACATCCAGCGTCTCCAGGCTGAGGAGCAGCAGAAATCCCCTGGTGAGGTGATGGACCCCAGGGAGGCCGCGCAGGCCATCTTCCCCTCCATGGCCAGGGCCCTGCAGAAGTACCTGCGCACCACACGGCAGCAACACTACCACAGCATGGAGAGCATCCTGCAGCACCTGGCCTTCTGCATCACCAACAGCATGACCCCCAAGGTGCGCTGCCAGGGTTGGGGGGCAGACCGGGTCCTGACATTCTGCGTCTCCTCCATCGCTCACCACATTTGTTTGTTTGTTGTTTGTATGCACTTGGGTGTTTCTGTGTGAGTATCCCTCGTGTGTGTTTAAATGCCTCAAAGAAAGGCCAGAAGATAGTGTTAGACCTCCTGGAACCAGAGTCAAAGGTGGCTGTGAGTCTCCTGATGGTACTGGGAACCAAGCTCGAATCCTCTGGAAGAGCAGCAAGATCTCTTGAACTGCTGAGCCGTCTCTGCAAACCCTCTCTCTCATCTTTTGACACAGAACCTCTGACTGTACATAGAACTCAGTGATCTGCTGGACTGGCTGGCCAGTGAGCTCTGGGACCCCTGTCTCTCTGCCTCCCCAGCAGTGGGGTTATAAATGTGCGCTGTCAGGGCCGGCCTTTTTGTGGAGGTGTTAGGGATCTGAACACAGCTCCTCCTATTCCTACAGCAAGCACTTTACCCACTGAGCCAGCAATCCAGCCCAATACAGTTGGTCTTTTGTTTTGTTTTCTAATGTACATTTTAAGGGTCTTTATATTCTATAACAGAGAAAAAAGATTTCACCTTGTGCCAGTACAGCGCAGTGGCTAGGGTGAGCCCTAGAGCTTAACTTACCCATTATAAATTGTATAACCCACCAACTGGCTGGCTGTACAACTTTGGACAAATAGCTTCTGGTGCTGTGCCTGGGTTTCCTAACCTATAAATTGAGTGTGTTCCTTTCATGTCATATACTTAAAATTATGCCTGTCGTTTGAGCCAGCCTAAAGTTAGTAGCTATCTTTTTTTTTTTTTTGGAAATGATGCCAGCATTTCGGATGTTGTAGAATTTGTTTCCTGAGCAGTCTTTTGGATTATGGCATTAGTACACTTTAGGAATGGATCTTACCATCATTATCAATGTTATCTAATAGGGGACTGTGGCCAAGAGAAGGGGTGGGTGCCACCGGTGGGTTCAGATCATCACCCCAATCACTCACTTTTTTTTCTGTACTTGGTTCCTCCCATATAAAGTATGGGTATTGGCTCAGCAGGGTTGTTGTGTACAAAATAATGATAAGCAAGGCTACTTAGCATGTGAATCATATGGAATCATAAGTGACCTTGGCATTGGTACATAGGTAATATTTGATAGCTCTTTTCCTAAGACCATCCTACTCTTACACTTCCCATAGTTGTCAGTACTACTGACTTAGAAAAGCCATGCAGAAATATCCATTTCTTTGACTCAGTAGTCTCTCATCCAGGAAAATTAGCAGTCAGGTCCATAGTCAGTCCTCTGTATCTGTGGGATCAGCCAGCCATGGAGGAACTGTGCACCTCTGCACTGAGCCTATACCCATGCTTTCCTGTCACATTGAGCACATATGCATGCTTTCCTGTCATACTGTGCACACACACACTTTCCTGTCACACACACTTTCCTGTCACACTGAGCACATATGGACACTTTTTGATCACACTGAACATGTACACAGCTTTCCTGTCACTGTCCTGTAAACAACACAGTATAGCAGCTACTTAGCATGCATTATAGTAGATATTGTATGGCACCTAGAGATGATAGATTCTACAATATACAGATGTCTGCAGGTAACTTGCAAATGCTGTACCATTTTATATGAGAGATTTTAACATCAGATTTTAGTATGTGTGTGTGGGGGGGTGTCCTGGAATCAGCTTTTCAGTTACTATCTATATGCATAACTATATATTGAAGATGGATTGTCCCTTACTCAGAATATCCTATATAACTCCAAACTGGAAATCATTTGCAAATATGTCTAATATGCTATGTGGTATATCATCTGTTGGAATGGGGGAAAAACTTGTTTGAGTATTTAGTTACAAAACTCCACATATAACAGAGCATGAACACAGGTTACAAATAGAAAACTGTGCCTGTGTGCAAAGTAATAGATTCTGACAAGAAAAGGGGACAGCTGTTTTCCTTTCTTCAGCATTCTTAAAGTTGTCTGATTTCGTTTTAAAACTTATGCTTTCTTGGATGCTCATTGTTCAAAAAGAAAAGTCCAGTGTAGACAGTTCTGTTTTGAGCCAGCTGTAGTAACTTATGATTATAATCACAGTGCTTGGGAGGCTGAGGCAAAAGGGTCATGAATTCATAGCTACCCTGGGCTATGTAGTGAGTTCTAGTTCAGCCTGGCCTACCTAGCAGAACCCTTTACAGAAACAAAAAACAAACAACAAAAGCAACCAGAGCTGGTGAGATGGCTCTGTGGATAAAAGTGCTTGTCACCAAGCCCAAGTTCAAGCTCCAGAGCCTACAAGCTGGAAGAAGATAACTGACTCCAAGTCATACACATGCTGTGGCACGTATGTGCATGACCATGTACACACATGCACACACACACATAAGCAAATAAGTAGATAAATAAAGTTATTAGAAACCCAAAATTAAAATTAAAAAAAAAATTGAGGAAAGAAAGCACTGTCTCCAGACACCACCACCACCCTCAGCCCACCCCCATCTCCACTCCCCCTACACTTCTTACTGATATGGGCTGGCATATAGTTTCTCCATCGTGTCTGGTGTCTGTGTTCTAGTGTGGAAATGCTTGGATACTACACATGTCTGTATTTTGGACACCCGCTTTCTCCACTCAAGGCTTGTTGGATCTTTCTCTCAATGCACGCTGACCTGACTCACACAGCTCTGACTCGCTCCCTGTGAATACTGATTCCACCAGATCCGCAGATTTGCCTAACTGCTTGTCTGTTGGTGCACATTTGAGTTAAGTTTCATGAGTCAAAGCCAGGGGTTGGCTGTTTCTGTGACTCGGATTTCACTGGAACCCAGCCGCACCTTCTTGTGTACCTATCACCATGGCTACAGCTGCTCACACTTCACAGCACAGTAGAGGAGTTATGAAAGAGGATTGTTTGAAAACTGAAAATAGCTTGACCTCGGCGTAGGACCAGATGGATACATGCCAGTATTTTTCAATTTATATTATTGGCTCATTCTTTCTCTCAACTAAACGGACTTGTGTATTTAATTTTGCACCAGATAAACTAGAAAGTCACACTTTCAAAAGAAGGAAACAATGATGATGTAGTTCTTACCCTCTATGAGCCTGAAGCCGGGAGGAGAGGAGACATAGTTGGTCACAGTTCAGAAAGTAAAATATGACATGAGATCATCCCGGTGGTCTCAGGAGCTTTGACAGGAGAGCGTGGGGGTCCATTTGAGAGCAGCAAGAAGATAGTAAAAGGTGGAAGGGCGAGGAGGAATGGCACATGGAAGGATGTAGAGGAGTCAGAGAATGCTGGCTAGCTTGGTGTCCCTGGAGCAAGAGCTCAGAGAGGGGAGGGGACATTGGTCTGCCCGTCCCTAGAACTGGTTATGTGTGTTCAGTTCTGCATAAAATAACCATCAGTTAGTTTTCCGACTGAGCTCCGTGGGAACTGCTTTGTGAGGGCTGAGCCTTTCTAGCTTGTGGTACCCAGTGAGTGCAGTGGTGTTGTCTCCACCCAGATAGAGGGTAAAGGACTGAGCGGAGTCAGCCAGCAGGTGGTAGAGCATGCAGTTTTGTCCCTGTGGTTGTTCTTATCTGTCTGCCTTGGATTCACTTGACTAGTCCTCTGTGCCAGGCACTTGGCCTGTCCTCGAGGGTCCTTTGCTTTGGTGGTGGAGGTGGCAGAGTGTGTACAGTGGTTCCTGTGTCTACAGGTGGAATGTAACATTAGCGGTGACTTCTGACAAACACTAGTAGCTACTCCATTTCTCTCGGCTCAATCTCTCGTTGCAAATTACCAACAAACAAAAACAAAACAAAAAACTAAAGAAGCCAATGAGGAAGTCTAAGAAGTCTTCCCTCCCCAGAGAGGGTCTCATGGGGCTTCAGCATGAGAAGCTGAACCCTGATCCAAAGTCTCCGTGTAATTGGGTAACATTTCCTGGGGATTAAAAGAATGCCCCCTGGCCTCATAGCATAGCAGCCCTTGTTAACTTCCTTCATGTTTTTCTTTGGCTTTCAGGCTTTCCTTGAAAGATACCTCAGTGCGGGACCCACCTTGCAGTATGACAAGGATCGCTGGCTCTCGACACAGTGGAGACTTATTAGTGACGAAGCCGTGACAAACGGGTTACGGGATGGAATTGTTTTCGTCCTTAAATGCTTGGACTTCAGCCTCGTAGTCAATGTGAAGAAAATCCCATTCATCGTACTCTCTGAAGAGTTCATAGACCCCAAATCTCACAAGTTTGTTCTTCGCTTACAGTCTGAAACATCGGTTTGAATGTCCTATATTTGTGGCTTTATGAAAAACAGAAGAATATATAGAGAGATATATATATATGTCTGGGGGGAATCCTTTTATAAAGATTTTCTTTTTAATTTTTCAATGCTGACTGAAACTGACAGATGATAGACCAGTGTCCTTCAACCATCTGCACTTTATTTGGAAGGAAGCAGGAGATGTCCGCCCTGACAAGTGACTGGTGGCATCTGACTTCAGTAGATGAGACTTCTAAAGAAGCTGTTCCCTGGAGTTTCTGTGACAGCTGTAAACCAAAGTATAGCTGCTGTGTCCTTGGGAGCCTCGCCTTACTGGTCCCTGCCTGTCGCCCAGTACCACATCCCCTGGTACTTCTGGTCGACCCCCCCATAGATTCTGGAGGACTCACTTTATTCTGGTTTAGGAAACCACACACTACACATCCACACATATGTTTGTACATGTAATTAGCCCATATCACCACACCTTCCTGGGGAGTGGTAGGCAGTCCAAGAAATGCCCACCCACCTGCATCTGTTCTTTGTTGCCTTAGATTCCACAGAGAAAGAGCCCAGCAGAAAATGTGTCCTGCCAGGTTACAGCCATTCAGTGAATTGCTTTCCATTTCCCAGAGAGAGAACTTCCTGCCCTGTTTCTGACCTTGTTTCTCTGTTGGTGTGAGGTAGCCCTTCTCTAGCCCTGGGATTGCCCATCTGAATTCCACTGTAGCCCACTTTGAGCACCCAGACCACAGCCCTGCCTGCTGAGGCTACCTCAGCCATCCAGAACTGACAGGAACTTGGCTCTCCAATGTGCCCACAAACTCTTTGCACAGCCTTTCCCAGTCTCTTTCCAAAGTAAGTCATGACCCGGGAGCCATTAGCTGCAGAGCCCTCTGTAGGCAGCAGCAGGAGCCCCATCTACCCAATCTTCCTTAGCTCTGCTTCTCACAAACCAGGGGAGACCAACACTGTGACTCCCAATTAGCAGATGCCCCTTGGAGCCATCCAGTTGCCCAGGGAGACAAGTATTCACACAGCTCATGTGCCAAGCTACCCTACCACGGGAGAGCAAAGAGTGCCCACCAAGCTGGCAGCTACTCTGTCCCATCCCCGCGGTTTGTGCTCACTGTCACTGTACAGCATACTGCAAAAGAAAGGGAAGGGGGTACTGAGGAAAGGGAGGGTAGGGGATCGGTGCTGCAGCCCGCTGGTTTTGTAGCTGGTTTCAGAGGACTATCCCCTTGATGTCCTGTTTAGACATAGGTGCTTCCTGGCAGAGCCCGGTGTAGGAGAGTGCCCAAGGAGCCATGTCCTGAAACCTTTAAGTGGGCTGTCCCGGTCCCTCTTTGCCTGTCTATATCTGAAACAATGATTCCTCAAGTATTCACTCTTTCCTTTCCGGGCTTCAGGGATCTTGTTTCAGGAAAGGAGAGTATTCTCAGCATGCTCCAGGTCCATGCATGTGTAGCCTTCCTATTTATGCATTTCATAAATCAAACTATTTTATCTGTCATTTAAAAAAAATTATAATTCACTTGGGATATTTGTAATACACCCTCACTTGGAAAAGCGAACATTCTTCTTGGGCAGCTTTTAGCTCAGAAAGATGTGTTGGGGAAGGAAGGGGAATCACATGGGCGAGGCACGGAGCCAAGATGCCATGTGTTAATAGCATGGCTCTGTTTGAGACACACCTAGTGGAACCATGGTGCTTTGGTCTTCGTTTTTCCCTTTAGGTCCCTTCTAACTGGAAGTTCCTCATGATGTCTTTCTCAGGAATATTTTAGAAGATAAGGTATGGAATGGGTAGTCTGTGAGAGACTGACTGTGTGGAGGGTGATGTCACAGAGTAGCTGCTCAGCCACAAGTACCTTGAGGTTGTAAGTGCCATAGATGTGAATAATGTGGAGTTAAATGTAACACTGCTCACCAACGCTTTAAAATACTGTGCTTCCAACACTGTCTTAAATTATGGGTCTGCCAGGGGTTAAGTCAGAGTCGTGTATTGGTGTGTGTGATTCCCAGCAGGGTAAGAAAGTTTTAAATTAAGGAATTAATTTATTTTCTCTCCTGCCCCCTCCTCCCTCTATGACTCATTGCATACTAGAATTTCAGGCTTCCTGAAATTATTGTTTTGGTTGTAAATTGAATATTGATTGTTGTTCAAAACACCAAGTTTGTATCGATTCCTTCCTGAAAGTCAAATTGAGCTCTTGGGCTCCCAGCATCCTAACAGCTAGAGTTACTAATGAAGTGGGAACCACATGAATGATGTTTTGAAAAAGAAATGTAAAGTTTCAGAAAGCTGCATCTCAAGGTTGAAGACAATAAATTTTTATTTCATTTCTTGGACCTGGACCCATAGCCTACTCTTACTAATGGATGTAAACTGTGCCCTAAGGCTACTAGGATGTATGATCCTATTAGATTATGCTGGATTCCATTACCTTAAATGTTTATAGATTTTTTTCCCCTATAACTTTCAACCTACGTTAGTAAAATTCTAATATTAAATGTGAAAGAACTCAATGCTGTCTGTATATCCAATATTGCTGTGATTTTCAGAGGTCTACAAAACTAGACAGCTTGTTCAAAAGTGTGTGCTTAAAAAAAGACGAAAAGACAATCTTTAATAGTACATGAATTGGCTTCAATAAGTCTGCACAATGGGAGTTAGAATAGATTTTAAAGTTATAAGGCTCATTCATCCTTAGGTTATCCATGGATTCAAAATCTTCTGGCTAAAGTTCATAAAGTAAAGCACAGAGAAAATGCTTAACCATCATTTCCTCCCAACAATTACTGTCTCCCTTTCTTCCTCTGACTCTTCCTTTTGAGATCTTCAAGAAGACAGATTCTTTAGAGCAGGGAATGTAAAGCCAAGTAGCCTGGGTATGTTTGTCTCATCACAATTCATTGTTAGGAGCATGGGGCTCCTTTCTATGAATGGGGAGAATGGCCATCCTGGAATCTTAAAAGACTTACAGTGCCCACTCTTGCCACCCCTTGAGTTGGAGGTGCAGGTGGCCAATTCTCCTTTCTATGTCCTCTTCTTGAGTGGGAGAATTAAAATGTAGCACTGCATCTTAGGGTAACTATGGCTGTGATGAAATACATGACCAAAGCACGTGGGGAGGAAATGGTTTATTTGGCACATGCTTCCACATCACCATCCATCATTAAATGAAGCCAAGGCAGGAACCTGGAGGCAGGAGCTAAGGCTATGGAGGCCATGGAGAAGTGCTGCTTACTGGTCCTCGTGGCTTGCTCAACCTACTTTCTAACAGAACCCAGGACTACCATCCCAGGGGTGGTCCCACCCACAATGGGACCTCCTCCATGGATCACTAAGAAAATGCCCTATAGGCAGATCTTATGGGGGAATTTCTCAGTTGAGACTCCCTCCTCCCTGATAACTCTAACTTGTGTCAAGTTGACATCAAACTAGCCAGTACAGAGCTCTATCTGTAAGCTACTCTCAACATATAGTCATAGAAGTTAACTGCTCACTCCTCCTCACTGCCAGTCATTGACCCAGTAAAACAACAAAGTCAAGTCTCTGGTTTACTCTCTTCCACCCTGGCCCTGCTGTGCAGACTCTTTATATGTGGATGCGATCAGGGAAGGGGTCAGCTGTTTTCTGCCTGTGTTTCTCCGAGTGTGCACTGTCAGGTAGACATGTTTGCCCATTGGCAGTTGTAACATTCATGTGACCAGTGACGTGTGTGTTGCTGAGCCTGTGAGGGTCTATTATTTCTGTTCAAGAGAGTTCCTGTGCTCCCAGTTTTCAGAAGGGTACTCTAAGCTGGCCGGCCCCTCGTCTGCATTCTCCTCTATCCTTTACACCAGCCTCTCACCAAGGAGACATGGGGGTTACTGCTCAAGTCTCACCACTCTGGAAGCCTCCTGTGCATTTATTAACATAACTTTTAAAAGAAACAAAGAAATTGGCAGGAATGCCTATATGATCATTTAAAGAGTTCTGCAAAGGAACCCCTACTCCGCTATAAAACGGTATAAAGTACTTCTGGGTAGTGTTTGCTCCTTATGGATCTTGTTACATCCCCAAAATGAAATCACTACTGTGAATTTATTACCATGTAACCTTGTCATATCCCATTATAAATAAAACATGCCTGTTTTTAAGCCCGGTGGAGTGCAGTTCGTGACTGGTACTCGGCAAGGTATGAACTGACCCTGATTCAACCCCACTGAAAACATCTTATTGAGCCTGAATCAGATGCTCAGAAAATCAGCTTTGGGATCACATCTTTTCATTAACTTTTGTTTTCAGTTAGTGTATAGAGCGATGGGTTTTATTGTGACATCATTCAAATGAAAATGAATGGAGTACCCATTTTGCAGAACATTGTATTTTGTCACAGAAGTGGGGGCAGGGAAGGGGAAGGGTGCTGATACTCTTCAAGTATAATAAATCAGGCTCTTTTCATTTGCATGTGACAAAGAAAGATGGGGGTACTCCTGCCTGGTAAATGGGATTTCAGACAAGCTCTAGGACTAGGTTCCTCTGCCCACCAGGAAGCATGAGCTCAGTGGTTTGGCATTTCTGGGTGTGGAGGAGGAACCTGAGGCGGAGAATTCCTCCGGAGAAAGGTCATTTCTTTCACTTTGGGTTTTTACTGTTTGGTCCCATGGGAAGCTTCTCTGCCTGGCTGGCCCACTGAGATACATAATGGGAAGAACTGAAGATGTCCCTCCTCCGCTCCCCAGAAAGCCCCAACCTGCTGGGCTTGAACTGCTGCCTGTAGCTCCCTGCAGCCAGGGCCATTGGTCTCCAACCTCTGCCTCTCCTTGCTAGACCACAGCAAGAGGCTCACCAGGGCCTTGGGCACAGGGGCCTGAGCTGGCTTTTGCAGGTGGGAGGGTCTAGTTAGCCCAGAGGAATTGGCTGTAGCCAGCCAGGAGCATGGGGATCTGGGGCTCTCAGTCTGGCCTCTTGATTTTGTGTTCTGAGCTTCTCCACACTTCCCCATAGTTACCCTTTGGACTGTGGGCAGAGTACACACAAAATAGAACCCAGGGGTCAAAAAGAAAGAAAAGAAGGCCCTTTCCT